GTAGTAGTAGTAGTAGTGGTAGTAGTAGTAGTAGGTGGTAGTAGTAGTAGTAGGTGGTAGCAATAAAGTAGTAGTGGTAGTAGTTGTTGTAGTAGGAGGAAACAGGACAAGACGCAGAAACAGAAACAATAGCAAGAATAGAAGAAGCAAAGAAGAACAAACAAAATGGAAAGCACAAAAACATACAAAAACATAGTTTAAAAAACACAGCACAGTGAGAAAAACAGCAGAAGCATATGCAAAAGCAAAAACGCAGCAGAAACAGAAAAGCTGCAAAACAAGAATCCGAAAAAGGAAACATACCAAAAAACAAATGAACACATTCCGTAAAAAAATGTACCTTCCAAACATAATTCAATATCAATCTGGAGCGGTCACCAGGATATGGAACGACCAAAGAGACGAAGGGACCAGGGGACCAAGAGACTAGGACCAGCAAACCAGTAAAGCTCAAGGGACTAGGACATTCAGGAAGCAACAGAGGGAGCAAGAGGTCAAAGGGACCAAGGGATCAGGGGTTTAAGGTTTCTTTAGGCTTTGCTCACGGCTTTGCTTTTGGGTTTTCTTCTTTAGGGTTCTATTTTGGGCCTGGTTGAGGGCTTCGTTTCTTTAGGGTTTCTTTGTGCTTGGCTTGAGGCTTCAACCCTTTAGGGTTTCTTTGGGCTTGGCTTTGAGCTTCGTTTCTTTGGGGGTTCTTTGGGCTTGGCTTAGAGCTTCGTTTCTTTAGGGTTTCTTTAGGCTTGGCTCAGGGCATCGTTTCTTTAGGGTTTCTTTGGACTTTAAGCTTCGCTTGGGCCTTCGCTTCTTTAACGTTTCTTTGGGCTTGACTTGGAGCTTTCTTGGAGGATTAAAGAAGCGGGAGGGGGTTCGGGGGAGGGCGCAGCGCCTCCCCCGTAACGCAAACAAGTATGGACAGCATGTTTCAAAAGCAGCGGCGGCAGCAGAAGGATAAAGGGATGTAGCAGGAGAACCAAAGGACCAGAGGACCCAGGGACCAGGGGACCAGAGGACCAAGGGACTAGAGGACCAGAGGACCAAAGGACCAAAGGACCAGAGGACCAAGGGACCAGGGGACCAAGGGACCAGAGGACCAAGGGACCAGAGGACCAGCGGACCAAGGGACCAGAGGACCAAGGGTCCAGAGAGAGGATGAAAGGACTAGAGGACCGGTTACCAAACAATTCTTTTTTTGATGCTTATTATTTTTTTCTTGATGCCTATTAATTTTTTTGATACCTCTCAACCAATACTGGGAATCCAAATGTCGATATGGGCATACAGCGCCGCCAGGTAAACTGATTGGTTCCTGATATTAGGTCTGCGATGTTCAAGCCACAAAGAGGGGCATCGCATAAGAACAATCCGGCCTGCTAGGATCTTGGATGGTCCAATTTTACTTCGCTCGAGGCACGGCTTTTGTGAGGACAGCTGAAACGATCCTTGGGGCTGAAAGCCACAAAACCTTGCCCATCTTGTCCCGACACTACAAAAGCCTGGCACATCCTACCACTTCTATATATATATATTATATAATATATATATATATAGCTTCTTCGCACATGAGACACAACAAAAACTGGTTTTCGATGGGGGGGGCGCCTTCAATCGCCTTCAGGAGCTCGAAACCACAGAAACCCACCGTCACGTCGACCGGCGTTCATTCTCCGCCCGCCGTGGGCCCGGACACGTTTCCCGCCCGCCGTTTTCGCGTTCGGAACGCGGCCCTGGACCAGGGGCTCAGGTGTGACCAACGGTGCGACCGATCGAAGGGTTGCTCCAACAGTGCAGGGATGGTGCATGTCCAATGAAAACACATGGTGCAACCAAATTGGGCGACCCGCTGTCTAGGGCAACGTACCTGAGACAAACGCATCTGACCCAAGAAGTCGGGCGAGCCCGTGAGGTGGCAAGTGTGTAAGTGTATATATATATATTTACCACATGCTACGTAATACATTGCATTATTCTTATATATATATAATTGCATATAGGCAATATTGATCAATATGTATCGTTTCATAAACTATCTATATAATATAAATATATATATATATATACACATGTGTGATCATGGGAAGCAACGACACCAATAGCTCAAAAACGCTCAAAGACTTGCGATGGTTCAAAAGCTAGAAAAAATGCATACCATCTACACCCCAACAGCCATGGAAGTGGAAGAAGCCACTTTACAGTGTATGTAGGGAGGCTCGGTTCTTAACCAACGACGGTATATGTCAGGTCACTCCTGTGAACCAGGATTCGTCCGCTTCAAGCTCCAAAACGGTCTCCTTGGTATGGAGGTTTGGGTGAACTACATGTCTGGTGACTGTTCAGAAGAAACTCTGGAATCTGTAAACATTGGTCGCAAGGCCTGAGCCAAGTGAGACAGTGCTGAAGTCTTTTCAGCCAAAAATGTGTGCAATAAGATCCAATCACTGATCCAATCATCTTCTCAAACATTCTTGATTCAGGTAATCAGGTATCTTAAATTCTTGGCAGAAGACACTCCGTGAGAATCACACAAAGTCATTCTAACCGGCAATCAACCTGATGCTTCCACAACATGATCATTTGAGGCAAACTGGCATCTACACGACCACAGGCTCATGCTCCTCTTGGGGGACATGAATGGCGTAAATGCATTTAAATGCATGTATATACATGGGGGTCTGGGAACACATGTCTGGTTAATATGTTTAAATGTCCACCGGCTGACTGCCTTTGGCGCCCCTCTTCATCTTTGGGGGTTCATCGGCCTGGTTAAACCACCTCCCAAAAAGGCAACATCACAAATCCTGACATGACGAACAGCTCAACATAGCTCAACAACTCCTCACCCGGACGATCGTTTCGATGTCACAGGACGATTGGATCTTTCGATCCTCCGAAGCTTCATCTTCCGCTACGGAAGGTTCCGGAGCTCTGAAACCAGACCACTCGAGACGAAGAAGAATGGCGATCAGTCCCAAGGCTCCGAGTGATCCACAAACCCCCTAGGCCCCTACATGTCTGATATTAGATCCAAATTACTGTAAACCACTGTTTTCACCACCCTGTTGGGGTCACTTGTGCCATCTATATACTCTGAAACCACTGTAAGTTCAACTGTGACGAAGGGATTTGTTCACCGGACCAGTGGATACAGTTTTGATGTCAGTTGCTGACGAACACCGGTGCGTCTCATGTTGGTGCTTCATGTGACAATGCGTCAATAGCGTCAAACCGATCCACGCAGCATAGCTCAACACCACTTCCAACGATGCCGCGTGCCCCTTTCCCGAAAATACCGAGCACGAAGGACGGCCACGACCCACAGCGGACTTCAGCATGCTGGAGGCCTTTCCTTGGCCTGTCTGAAGGCGTGATATCGTCTCACTTGTTAGGTCTCAAACCTCACACGGAGATGTAGAGTTGCCCCGGCTCAGCATCCGACATGGCCACGGTGACATCACAAATGGAGCGTCGGACCTCTCGTTGGTGTCGCTCCAGCCGGTCCAGCTTCCGATGGATGTGGTTCCTCGGTTCCCACAAGTGCCCCGGCTCCAGCCGGTGCAGCAACATGGTGTTTGGAGATCCCAACCTAGCACTTCCATGGAGGCGTGTAAGTAGGGTTCTATTGGGGAATAAGAACCAAAGAACAACTTCAATGTACCTAGCGCTTTCAACCGGTGAAAGCAAAGGAGACCTGCAAGTAACTGAGTCGTCCATCATTGCCTGCTGAGCTTGGAGTGTTTACTGTACAAGATTGGATCTATAAAACCTCCTGGAAGGTGAACAAAATTGAATATATAGATCTGTCTAGATCTATATAGTCTATACCACTGACTCCCTCGGTTTCCACCTGTTAGGTTTTTGGAAAAAAACGCATCTCCCCAAAAGGTAGGACGTGGTCAAGCTCTTCAGGCATGAACATGGTGCTTGGAGACGATTGGTGGATTCGATTCTCCGAAAATAAATCGAACAAACTAGCAATATACACAAGCTAGCTCAATCCACCAGCTCTCCCACCCACGCGACCCCTGGGTCATGGGTCACAGCTCTCCCAGCTCTCCCACCCGCACGACGCTCTCTGTGTTTCTTCCCAGGCGCTGCTCTCGGATGACCTTCATCAAGTCTAAGGACTTGGCAGTGCCCTGCAGCCGTGCCACCCCGGTGACCAGCTGCTCGGCGGTGAGCCCGCCCGAACGGTCTTTGCCTGAGATGAAGCGCCAAGTGGTGGAGATGAAGCGTCATCCAAAGACCGGAATATGTTCACATACCGTTTACACATACAGTTCCATGTATTTGGAAAACAGACCTGTTTACAGTTCCATCTTTCAAGAACATGTTTGACCCACGGTAGGCGGCAGTTCTAAAACCCAAGGGGGGTGGGTTGATTGCCCTATTGAAATATACACCCATTGTCACATGTCTAAGTTGATTTGCCCCAACGACCGGGCCAACTGGTCGGCTGCCCCCAAAAGACTCCATGAACGGACATCGGTCGTAGAACTTCCAATGACTCATCTTGCTCCACCTGCTAGTCATAATCCACCACTACCAGGGGTTAAAATGAGTAATGACTGGACAGGATCGACCCCGTCCTCACTCATCTCGCTCCGAACGTCAAACCTTCCAGCTGTTGGATTTGAGTGAGGTGATCTGCAGGTGTTCCACTGCTGGTTTTTCTTCATGGATTGTCCTCATTTTTCCCAGTGCCGAGAGGCATTCGTCCTGCAACAAGTCCTTAGATTTCAACTCGAAGAGCTTGGGCAAGTCACCCACCTCCCCACCCTCCAGGAGTGAAACCACCTCGATCAACCTGGCCGACCTCCAAAGTTAGCAAACCTACCCTGCCAAAGCTGATGAAAAAGCGACCCAAGCTGACAAGTCTTGGCTGATTTGCTGCAAGCAGGATGGATTGGTGAACAAAATCCATGGCTAAACCATCTTGAGACTGAGAAACACCAGCCTAACACCAACATCCACATCCTCAGCCAACCGTTCTTCTGCACCGTGAATCCGTTCTTCCGGACATCGAGTCGTTTCGTGTCGTTTCGGCGCGCCGCGGTCGCGTTCCGAGGCTCCCAGGCTTCTCCCACGTTGCGGATGTCGAGCTCCATGGCTCCCAGCCAGGCCTTCAACTCCGAATCCTTAGGCCACCGAGGGACCTGGGGAACGGATCAGGGTGACCTAGGTGGCAGAGTTGACCTGTGAAGTCTCAAAAACGCCAGGTCCTTTTAAGGCTCTGTCTGGAGATCACGATATCGTCAACAGGTGTCTGACCAACACCGTGACGGCGCATCTCTCTGAAAAAGACATAGAACCTTCACCTTGCACAGTGCAGGATGTGGATGCGGAACGTGGTGTTTTTCAGGCGCCCCGTCAACGCCGACGCCCAGGTGGCCTGAAGCATTTCATCGGGCCCAGCAGGACCCGAAATTCTCCGTACCCTGTCTTTCTACGAGTCACGCATGAAGAAATCCGCAGCACTATATGCAGTATATATAAGTTACCTGAACCAATATGATGTGGTTTTGGAATGAATCCTGGTGGGAGAAGCTTGTACTGCTGAGGAAAATGCTCGAGCCAATTACCTCCCAAAAGGGTACACTTGGCAGCGTGAACTAGCCTTGGCCAGCTTCTCATGTCTGCTTCGATAGGTTGCTTTTTGGGATGGTCCCTTCAATGAACTGGATGCAGGGTGACATAATTCCAAACAAAAGCACAATCAACCCTAATCAAATCCCATGGTTGGCCTGCTCACCCAGCTAGAAACATGGTCGAGCCCCAACACCACCAATAGCAACAAAACACAGGAACACAAAACAACTACTGTAACATACGACAACTTGAATAACACAGCAACAAATAGCAGCATAGCACCTTTGTCTTCAGGACAAGCATCTGCGAGAATTTCCTTAAATTCGTCAAGGTCAATCTTCCCATCCTCAGAACACGGCCACACTTGTGGCCGCTGTTGGCCGCAGCGGTGCTTTCCACAAAAACCCCTCGGTGGGTTCTTGGACCCAAACTGGACCCAACTTCAAGTACCTTTGGAACATGGGACATATATATATATATATTATAGTGGTTATATATAGATAGAACGGCTTGCAATACATGTTTAGTGGCGATATAGTACCTTTCTATCTCTTCGGGGGCCACTATATATATAATATATATCCCATAGGGTCCAGGTACCTCCTGAGGATGGTCTTGGAGCTGAAAGTACTTCCAAAGAATGGTCTTGGGGGGTCAAAGGACATCCTCAGGATGGTCCTGGACCCTCGGGGTATATTATATATACATATATAAAATTATATATACATGCCTGACTGCCTGACACGAAAAAACAACACGCCCCCGGTGAAACCGAGGTACGAAGAACGGGTCTTTCCTCCAGGAACGTTCGTCGATTCCAAAGACCACCGGACGACCGCAGCAACCGTGGACGTGAAACACCGACCTGGTGAGTTGGTAACACATCGCCGTGGAGTTTGGGTCACAAAGACCACCTGGGTGAGTTGGTGGAGGCCGTCCTGGACCGTCTGGACGTCCTGCCATCCACATCCATGTTAGTGGCTCGGAGGGTAGCGGTGTCGTTTGCATGTGTTTGGTTCGTTCTTGCTCCCTCAATGGTGACTGTGAAGTTGAGACCCCCCCGGCATCTCGACGACCGCGAGATCATCCGACCCTCCCGGTGACTTCCTGGTGACTCTGAAGTTTGAACGAGCCTCTTCTGAGGTATCCGCCTCTTCGAAGAGGAGCTGCATCTTCTTGATGTGGTTCTGCATGGCCTTCTGCTTTGTGCGCATCATGATGGTATCGTCGTAGGACGCCACCTTGAAGGTTTCCTGCCATCGGAGGTTGAACACCATGTGAGGTCCAACAGTTGAACTACGCTGTCTATTGGATCTGCCCCTTAGGGCTCCAACGACCTCCTGAGAAGGTGGTTGGGGTGGGTTTTTGGGGTCTAACCACCGAACCTGAGGATATGGTTGGAGCCCTAGGGTGTGTATCCCATGGAGTCACTGGGCGCCTTTTGGCATTGTACACCGTTTAATACCTTTTAGATTGTACTGGTTTTGACATGACTTCCAGCAGGGGACATGTTTACGCTCTTTATCATGTTTATCCTGTTGAAATGGAATCCAGCAGCGGCACACGGCATCCATGACCTACCGTTTGCAACGAAGCTACGCTCGTGGATGGGAGGGGAAGGCTGATCACCTGTACCTGCTTCATTTGTGAACGTTGTAACTACCTTCTACTCCTAAAGGTCTTCGGGCTGTTGCAGGATGATCAAGGTCTGCACATGTCTGCACTGATTTGTGAGCGCTCGCTTCTTAAAGCGATCAGATCGTACAGAACTTTTCTCTCTTTTGCGTCATCCCAACTGGTGATGAACAGCAGTCACTCCAGTCGGTTCCTGCTTCGAGCAACTCTTCGGCTCTTCGATTCCGCTGGGGGATCTGGCACCAAGGCCATATCGGGAGTTCCGTGCAAATAGGTCTCACATGTCCGCAGTATTACCCCCTAGGATCCAAGTAGGTATCTTCTTAGAACGTACCACTGGACCCTCCTGATCATCACAGTGTTTGCAATCACCATACCTTTTCGGTTCGGTACCTTCCTGGATCGCCCGCGACCGGGTGCAGCTTCTCCGACTCCGACCGGTTAGAGGACCGGTCGGGGCCGACATGGGCGGTCTTGGACCGCAGACGCGACACCAGCAACATTCTGTAAGCAATGATGAAGCTATGAGGCTATGATGAAGATCATAAACCAGTGGATTAAAATGAAGCTATGCTGCATAGTTTATATACAGTATGCAATACAACTATTTGTTGAAATGCAGTCTGATCACGTGATTCCGGTCTTCAACAGGGTCCGAAGACCACGACTCCTGCATGAGGACTCCGTTGATGACGCCGATCACCGCAAAGCCCATGGTGACTTTGTGGATCAAGAAGAACAGCATAAACCACCTCAGACGTCAGCGTTCTCTTTCCTCAAAGCATCATATTGGACCCTCTGAACCCTTCAAACTGGAGGATTTGGACCCTGCTTTTTGCAGGGCTTTGGGCCCGAACCAAACCTTCACTGACTGAGGGTCTGATTCAACGTAGACGAACGAACGTCGGGGTGCCGGTTCCGAACGGAGGTGGAGGCAATCAGGGTGCCCGAAGCATCCATCCAGGATGGGACGAGCCAACCACCAGCTCTGTGACTCCTGGCTCTTGATTCTAATAACCCCTATGTGGAAAAAGACTTTATAAGGAAAAAATACCCCTTCATGATGTTTGGGTTTGTGAATAGTCTAGTTGCCAGGCTGCTCTGAAGAGAGGAACCATGTCTGGAACTGGAACCCAAATCCAGAACTTCACCTCAAGTTCCTGAGAAGAGTCGTCTAGACTGAGGAGAATCACTATACAACTACAACCCAAACGCTTCATGACTTGCAAATTTGCCTACATGCGGTGGTTGACCCGGGGTCAATGGCATACACTCCAGTCCGAGTGTCCGCAATGTTTGAGGCTCTTCAGCTTTCGAACGAGTCGGGAGTCCATTGTCCATCAACGATCGGGCAACCTCCAAAACCGGAAAAGGCGGGGGAACTCTCGGTGATCCCAAACTGTGCGGGAATATCAGGCATCTCTTAGATCCAGCTTGGAACCACCTCCGCCTTATCTTGGGGTGGTTGAACATCCATATCGCACATTGGCATGGACACATGGCACTTTTCGCAGCGAGTCCTGGGAAGCTTGAGAGAAACTGTGTTTTCACATGAAGAATGTGTCAATAGGTGTCAATATATTATATATATATATATAAATATGTAATATACATTGATTCAATTGATCACATCACAAACTAGCAGCTACAGTAGCACCTGTCCCATTCATTGGACAGGCAGGCTCCCACATGGGTCAACGAACATGTCGGTCAGATGTATTGGTGGGGGATGTTCATCGACGTCCCAGCAGCTCGGTCACGTTCTCCGTCAAAGCACGGCACACCTCGCGATTTCACGGCGAACAGCCGCCGAGTCAAACGCATGAGACCCGGTGCCCGAACGATTGACGGAAGGTCACCGGTGCCAACCCCCGGGTCGGGAATGACAGTCAAACAGCCCGGACATGTGACCTCTGATACTTGGATTTGCTGAAGGAAAAGTATTTGTGCGTTTATGGCGTGATGGTTTGCTTTGGTCATGATGAAATATGCTTATTAATATTGCTCCATGGAACCGGGAAAAAAAGAAATGTTTCCCAAAGGCGAGGTGCTGCCGTTCACAGCTTGCTCCTCCTGCCCCTTGATTCGGAACCGGGTACAAAAGGCTAGGAAGGTGACAATAGTGAAATATTTGTGAAATAAGAACCCAGGATTTAATCAAGAAAGGATGCAATCAACATCCCAGAAGACCAGCGGACTAAGACTGAAGGCCAAGAGACAACTCATGGTAAATCAGTCATGATGTATGTGATATATGTCATCGGATGGTCGGTTTTTACACACAACAACAACAACAACAACAACAACAACAACAACAACAACAACAAC